ATTTTCTCATTGAAACTAGGCAATCTGCTTAGATTTCTGATGTACGAAATAGAGAGTTTCGCTCAATTGTCAACTCTGTATCAATGTCGACAACATTTTGGTCGGCGTAAGATTCTCCTTCTGCCTCGCTGTTGAACTGGGACACATGCGAGTCATCTGCGATTTGTAAAGTATTCTGCCTGCCGTTTCCTTTTCAAACTGCCATTCTTTACAAAACATTGAGGAATATTTTAATAGCATGTTATTATTCTGAATGTCTTAAAGTCTTTGCTTCATTGAAACCAACCATTCTCTACAAATTAGGTAAGGTGAGTCTAGAGCGTTTTCACGAAAGTGACCTTCTTCAGCAATAGGTTTACAGAGTATAGATTCCAGAAATGGGCGGGTTTGTGTGAAGGCGTGGAAATTCACCAATCTCCCATAGTTTTTTGAGTGTGTGCTAATAATGATGGCATAACTGTCAATAAAAAGCGCATTTTTTACCAAAAAACATAAACATATAAAACGATAAGCACGCTTAAATAAACGCGTTCGCTCACGTTATCGTCAGTGCTGATAACGATGTCAATTCACAGCACATTTTTTACTATGAACTTGCTCCACCTCGCTCTTATTAGGTCGTCCCGAAAGTTTTTGTGCACGATTTTCAAAAATTCATAACTTCTGATTTTTCCAACCGATTTGACTGCTTTCACTTTTATGTGAAAGGGTAATTCATGATCTTTACAATGACATCTCAGTGCTTAGTAATGATCATCTGTTGCATAGATAGGAGCGATAGAAGAAAATGGTCAAAATTTGAATTTTCTGTGTAGGGTCATTAAAAATCGGAGACTTGCAACAAAAATCGGAGCAGTCAGTATTGTAGGTTTTTTCACCAGCTCTTTCTAACAGTGCAGAGTTTGCGCTGATTGAGCGTTCTATGAAAAGTTATGACTTCCCTGAAAAATGCCAAAATAAATCAAATTCGCCCTTTTGTATTGCTTGCTCGAAAATCATAACTTTTCACAGAGGCGCTCAATCGGCGCAAACTTTGCACTGTTAGAAAGAGCTGGTGCAAGAACCTACAATAATGACTGCTCCGATTTTTGTTGTAAGTCTCCGATTTTTCATGACCCTACACAGAAAATTCAAATTTTGACCAATTTTCTTCTATCGCTCCTATCTATGCAACAGATGATCATTACTAAGCAGCTGAGATGTCTTTATAAAAAACATGACTTACTATTTCATACGAAAATAGAAGCAGTCAAATCGGTTGGAAAAATCAGAAGTTATGAATTTTTAAAAATCGTGCGCAAGAACTTTCGGGACGACCTGTACAATGTGTTGGCTTTTATGGGTCGCCGGAGCAAGTACTTTTTAGAGCCGGGAAGCAAAGAAGCCCTAACATGCTGTATACCATTCGAAAGCTGAGATCATGGGGAATCGACATAGACCGTCGACTTTTTTCTAGGTCTTCTGTGCCGCGAGATATGAGGGATTTTATGTGCTTCAAAAATTAACTAATTTTGTGTCCTCACTTTCTGCCCCCCCCCCCCCCCAATGAATGCTACGAGAAAGTCGACGGTCTACGTTTGTTAACGAAGACTTGCTCTTTAACACAGATAGATAATCAGCAGTGATTAGGTCTTCATTTGGCAGAAATCTGCTGTTGAAAATGACCATGTTTTCAGATAAAATGCGGTGTATCTCTCGGTAGAGGGGGGCTAGAAAGAAGTCGACGGTCTAGGTCGAATCCCCTTTTCCTGAGCTTTCGAATGGTATATAGGTTGCTGGGCGAAAAAACTAATCAGTTTTCAAAAATGGGGTGGAGACATTTACTATTAGCGAAGCTCCACCCAGCTCCATTAATGTATTGGCTTTTATCGGTTAGCGGAGCAAATGATTTTTAGAGCCGGGAAGCAAATAAGCCCTAACATGCTGTATACCATTCGAAAGCTGAGATTATGAGGAATCGACGTAAATCGTCGACTTTATTCTATGTCTTCTGTGCCGCGAGATATGAAGGGTTTTATGTACTTCAAGAACCAACTGCTTTTTTGTCCTCACTTTCTGCTCTCCAAATGAATGCTACGAGGATGAATAAATAATATAAATAAACATAAATACCGTTTCTTTTGTAAATTTATGAGTGTACTTGTTGTTTGAGGTACTTAGCCTGCAAGACCTTTTAACAACGATTTTTATCATATTCTCAGATTACAATACCAATCTCAGCCCAGGTGAAGGGGGTCATCCGGAGTTTGGCCTCAAAGTGAAGGGGGTAAGATCCATCACTCCCCCTATCGCAACTATGCCTCGGATAGAGTTCACGCGATTAATCGTCGCGATTAGTCGCGACAGGACAACTGTTACTAGTCCATTGCATGCCGATCTTCTTGTCTTTCGGTTGTGATAGTTAACCACGATTAGTTATGTTGGAAAACACTATCACACCCGAAATACAAGAAGATCGGCATGCAATGAACTCTAACAATTGTGTTGTGGTGATCGAATCGCGACGACTGAATCGCGTGAACTCTGCCCAAGGCCTTTCGTGTGCCTTTTCGCCACTATAATTTGTTATTGTCGGAAACATTCATAGGGATCGGTCAGAGTTTGCCAGCGTTGCCGTTTTTGAAAGTGTTGAAAGTGTTGCCGGTGTTGAAAGTGTTGAAAGTGTTGAAAGTGTTGCCGGTGTTGAAAGTGTTGAAAGTGTTGAATGTATACATCAGTCCTGCAGTTTCGTTCTTCCTGGAGCGATCTTACTGGCTGGTGAGATCGTTTGAAATGTACATGGAACATGAGTAATGAAATGCGACTGAAATGGGAAATGCTTTTACATGCAAAAGAACCTCATACAAAGTTTTTGGAAGGTAGAGGACCTGTTTTAGATAGGCAATCCCCAATATTTGAAAACGCTGCAAGACCTCCTATATGTAGGATCTGCAGCGAACACCCATTACTCGGACTTTAGTAGCGTTCTCAAAATTCAAAGATTGCCTATCTAAAACAAGTCCTTTACCTTCCAAAAACTTTGTATGAGGTTCTTTTGCATGTAAAAGCATTTCCCATTTCAGTAGCATTTCATTACTCATGTTCCATGTACATTTCAAACGAGCTCACCAGCCAGTAAGATCGGTCCAGGAAGAATGAAACTGCAGGAGATGTGTACATTCATACTTTCAACACTTTCAACACCGGCAACACTTTCAACACTTTCAACACCGGCAACACTGGCAAACTCTGACCGATCCCTTAACACCGTTGAGGTAGGTAACCGGCAAAACCTTCAGATATTTTCATAAACCGCGAAAAAAGAAGAACGTGTTCGAAGAAAAAAGATGGGCGTGCCGGACACCTTGGCAGATTATACGAAAAGCTGAAATCACTGCCTGTACAACTTCTCGTACGTTCACTATGTTCACACTAAATTGGTAATAGAAACACTCTAGGATGAATAGAAACTTGAAGAAAGATTCCAGGAGCTTCAAAATACGAAGCTTTTAGCAGTGCCTAGAGTAAGCATTCTGTCCTTGGCAACATTGGTGGATCGAACTAACTAAGTGTGTGTGTGTATGTGTGTGTGTATGTGTGTATGTGTGTGTATGTGTGTATGTGTGTGTGTGTATGTGTGTATATGTGTGTATGTGTGTGTGTGTGTGTGTGTATGTGTGTGTGTGTGTGTGTGTGTGTGTGTGTGTGTGTGTGTGTGTGTGTGTGTGTGTGTGTGTGTGTGTGTGTGTGTGTGTGTGTGTGTGTGTGTGTGTGTGTGTGTGTGTGTGTGTGTGTGTGTGTGTGTGTGTGTGTGTGTGTGTGTGTGTGTGTGTGTGTGTGTGTGTGTGTGTGTGTGTGTGTGTGTGTGTGTGTGTGTGTGTGTGTGTGTGTGTGTGTGTGTGTGTGTGTGTGTGTGTGTGTGTGTGTGTGTGTGTGTGTGTGTGTGTGTGTGTGTGTGTGTGTGTGTGTGTGTGTGTGTGTGTGTGAATCTCTGTCTGTCACGAAATTCGTAGAGCGTGTTCCAGCCAACGTCCTGAGCCCAAATTTTGCATAACGCACGCTACCAGCATGAAAGCTCACTATGCGAAAGCATGAGCGGATCCGTTGAGTGGATCCATTGAAAATTGCGCGTCAAACGGATCCACTTGGCTTCTGGCCAGCAAATTTGGGTCCGTAGTACTACTTTTTGCAGAGTTAAGAATATATTTGACAAGCTATCGTGCAAGCCATGGACGTTAGCCTAAAAAAGTAATGAAAAGCCTACTACTTTACGAAAACAGCGCCAAAAAGCATTCGCTGTGTAAACGGTCAATTTTTCAAGATTTTACCTGATCATTTGAGAAGATTTTTGCACAGAGATGTAGCCCACTATGCTTATTGTCCTTACGGCGACTGTCAAGCCATAAAAATTCCAAAAACCTATTCGAATTTGCAACTGTTCTTCTGGGAAAGATTTTATCCACGCAAATACCGATCCCACATGGAAAACGTTTACGAATGAGTAGTTGTTTACGAATTATTCGTGATAGCCTACATAGTGCGGTGAGTTTCATTTTCATTATTATGCGGGAATGAGTAAGGCATACAGAAAATAGGGCCAGTGCGAGCCTCTGCGAAGCAGAGGTGACGCACTGGTCAATTATAAGATGAGCTATTAGTGATTTATCAATGCAATAATTCTAACTGGTTGGAGACTTGTGTGCATGGCGTTTCGGGATCATAAAGTCAGAATTAATGTACTGATGGTCCAGTGCCTCAAATAAAAGCATCCTTTGTCGGTCAATAAAAAACTGTGATATGAGACTGTTCCAATTGCACGTTGATCAAGTTCAGAATATCAAATTTTCGGGCCCTGAAGCATTTCATTTTCGTCAGAAGAAAACTGCGAGTTTGCTTTCTTCAAATCAAGGCAGTGGTGTGAGAGAATAGAAGCTCACAGGAAGGTAATAATCTTTGGCAATTCAAGGTTCCCGAGACGCCCTCAGGTCGTAAAATGTTGTTTTATATTTGTTACTTATATTTTTCTCCAGTTCTGAACAATGTTTATTTTTTAGTTCCAGGAAATCTGTGAGAAGATAAACTAATAAGAGTCATCTGATTTCAGGAGTAGAGAACATTCACTGCAGAGAACCTCATTGAACTTTACTCTCTTTGACTTGTTCACGCAATACTTCAAGCAATTCTCGTACCGTTCTCGTCGACGATATTGCTCCATCTGAATGAAACAGCTATTTCACTTTATTTCAAGGTTGTAGAGACTATTGGTACCTTCAGCCTCTTAACTCACCGATTCCCGATAGCGTCCGTGAAAAACGTCTGCCTGCACGGAGACGATCACGATGAGAAACAGTATAGCAGCTCGCATCGTATTAGAGCTGTGAATAAATGAACATTGCCGCTCCTCGATTAGCTGTTTTGTTTGAGGATGATAAGCATTGAGTCATCTTGACATGATCAATCATGTGCCGTCATAAAGCGTCATTTCTGTGGGGGTGCCGAAGCACTTTAGCAAGTCTTCGATTTTTCATAATTTCACGCAAATTCACTGCTTATATGCATGCTCTTTTTGCATGATAATCGACCTTTGTTGCAATCCCTCCCCCCCCCCCCTTTCCCCTTCCCTCTTCCAGCGCTTTGCTCCATCATGTGCTAATAACTTGACTTTCGGTATATCGAATCTTCCATTCGTGTGTTCTAGGCAAGTGTGCTCCAGTCTATATAAGTTTTTGAGGACAGCGTACCGAAGATTTCGGCTCCCATGTATCTGCCATTTTCAGGCCTTTCCATAACCCTGTTTTTGGTCAAAAGGTGCAAAACACGTAAAATTTCTGTAAACGTCTTTTGTGGAACCCTATGAAAGTAAGAATGATTGTTCCGGCGCTGCTTCCGTTGTATGCAACAAAGACACAGACATGGGCTTGTTGAAAGAAGTCGCACATCCTATGGACGCAAACGCTGTTTCATTAGCGACGGAGCGCATGAGACGCTCTGTAACAGTAAAATACGTGCGCTTCGCTTTCGCGCCCGCTTAGCTGAAAGTCCTTTTAGCCTTCGTTTCGCAGTAGCCTATACACACTGTAATTGTGTAGCGTCAGGACATGATGAGCAGCCTTAGATGGAATATGCGAAGAAAAGAAGCGAAACGGAATTAGGATTTCCGGAATTGCAAATTAATTTTTTTCTTGAGAGCAGCACTCGGGGGAGCTAACTGACACAGGAACTTCAAAGAAAGAACACTCATAGTAATCTGGAGAGCACAAATTTTGTGTAAACGCTGCCTTCAAAGGTTCGCTACTGCTTGCGCAATTCCCCTAATTTAGTTACATTAGCGCGCAAAAAGTTCTTATCGTGTAGGTCTCCGAAGATTAGTGAAAACTGAACACGACTCCGTCATTTTGTCCAAATCCAAATGAATTCAGTTTAGCTAGCTGAGACGGATTAGCTGCGCAAAATGTGGGTTCCAATGCTGACATCCGCCATCATTGAAACGGTATAGGTGGTTCGCCCTCCAAGGGGAGTAGAACATTCAGCAAACAAGGGAATCAAGGGAATCATGGGAAGCATGGCCAACAAGCAGCGTTTTTGTCTATCCTCAAAATCATGAAAACAAGTTTCGATCAAAATTGCTCTGGCAAAGGAGGGTCCTATATACTCGCACTGTTTTGTAGAGGTAAATAACAGTTTCGTGTTTCATTGTATAAGCCAGCAGTATATGGTCAACTTCAATTGTGATGAACAACGAACAGAGTTTGGTGATGACGAAATCTGGGAATATCACAATGGAAATGGACTGAGAGCAGTTCTAGATAAGTAATCAACAATGGCGTACCAAGGGGGGGGGGAGCTCGCGAAGTTTTTGAAATTACTTGTATGATTACAAAATTATGCAAGGGACTTGTTTCTTTTGAATAATCGATGTAATTTTTGAAAATTCTTAAAAATTCAATTTAGCCTCACAAAAAAATTTTTCGGGGGCGTCGCCGCCACCGCACCACCTTTTTCTAAAATTGATCGCAAAAATTTCAGAAAGCATACTAAAAAAATTTTACGGAGTGCGTTGAGCCACGCACTTCATCAGAAAAAATTTTGTCCCCTCCCCCACCTCCGAACGGAAAGCGTGGGTACGCCACTGTTAATCAAAACTAATTAAAATATGTTTACAGATCAGAATTCCGACGATTGAAGTGCACAAATTCGTGAAATAATCTTTGGGCAAGTAACAGGCATGCGTACCAAAAATGTAACGTCTCAAACAACATAACGTAATTATAGAAACCTAATACGTGCTGGCCAAAACTATAGTTCCACTCAAAATTTTGTAGTATCAAAGAGGTGCAGCATCAAATAAAGCTCAAATTTTACATGATGATTACATTTACCCTTAGAACCTTTCTGAGACAAAAGGTTTGTTCACATCCATCTTCATTACAAAAAAATGAGAAAATTTAGGAAATCCTACAAATGAAAGCTGGCCAAAACTATAGATCCACTTGGTACTTAGCGTCTTCACAGTTTTTTCGGCCCCCAGTTTTTGTCGTACGAGCACATCGTTGAACTGTGGAACATGCCGCGTGGTCAACGTCTAACGGATTTTGAAAAGGGACTGATTACGGCTTACCACGAAGAACAATGGATAGACGTATTGCCGAAGCAATTGGACGAAGCCACAAGGTTTTCAATAGCTATTGGCTGATCCGCAATCGTATGAGCAACCTTTTCCATCCGGACGTTTGTCGGTGGTCACAGCCCGCGATCGGAGAGGTATACTGCGCGTTGCATCCAATTCTACTATCACCTCAAAGCAGATCAGAAGCGCTTTACAGTTGAATTGTTCCACTAGAACAGAGCGCAGAGTCTTAGAACAGAGCGAAAACACTGTTCGAATGAAGATGAGTTTGCAGCCAAGGTTGACAAAGCTTCACAATGAACATCGTCTTGATTTTGCTGAAGAAAAACTCGCGCAACAAGTTAACTGGAGTAGGGTATGGAGGTAATAAATTGCAACATCCACATATTCACCACAATTTTGTTTAGATTATTTGGTCTGATGAAAAAAGTTTAACCTCGACGGACCAGACGGATTCGCTTACTACTGGCACGATCTCCGTAAAGAGCCTCGGTATTTTCTCCAGACGGAACTTCGGCGGGGGCAATGTCATGGTTTGGGGCGCCTTCAATGCTATAAACACACTTCCACTTGCTTTCATTTCTAATAAAATGACAAGCCAGAATTATCAGGAGGTGTTAGAATCTCATCTTATACCATTTTGGCATGAAAATTCCACATTTATGCAAGATAATGCTTCAGTGCACAGAAGTAGGGATACATTACAGTACTTAAGCAGCCACAATATCCATATTTTAGAATGGCCAGCATGCTCACTTGATCTCAACCCTATTGAAAATCTCTGGGGCATCATTGTGCGTGATGTATATTAGGACTGTAAGCATTATAACAACTCACGAGAGCTTAAAATAGCAATTTCGTCTGCTTGGTCAAAAATTCCCACCCAGGTCCTTACTACATTAGCGAACAGTGTTCCAAAACGACTCATTGATGTTGTCAAGCACCAAAGTAACGCTATCGACTACTAGCAAGCCGCTGTCGAAATTTTTGCTGTTGGGTTCTTCAGTGGATCTATAGTTTTGGCCAACTTTCATTAGTAGCCTTTCCTAAATTTTCCCATTTTTTGGTAATGAAGATGGATGTGAATAAACCTGTTGTGTCAGAAGGTTATAAAGGGTAAATGTAATCACCATGTAAAATCTGAGCTTCATTTGATGCTGCACTTCTTTAATACTACAAAATTTCGAGTGGATCTATAGTTTTGGCCAGCACTATATCTATGCACCAACTCATTACTTCAAAGACTGCCTCCATCGTTGTAAAACGAGTTGGTCTAGAGTCCCGTAAGTGAATTTTATAGCGAGGAAGCTTATTAAGAAGCACAAAACAACGAGCTGCAAAAAAATTCAAAGGCTCAATGCCTTGAAAAATGTGAATTCAAACCTGTGGCCGTATTCATCATTGATACCTTGAGGTAAATTCTACCTCCAGGTAGTTTTATCACTCATTATCAGCAAAATTACATTGAGAATTTACCTCAAGGTACTTTGTGAATACGGGTACTTGCTGATAATGAGTGATAAAACCACCTGGAGGTAGAATTCACCTTAAGGTATCAATGATGAATACGGCCACTGCAATGGCCGAAGGAACATTAGATGGTAGGCCACAATCGTGACGACAAACATCCAGAAGCAAAAACAGAATTTATTTCTTATACCTAGCAGTGTTGATTCGTTGGTCTGCAAAGGTATTCTGTAAAAATTTTGAACTCTACAACCACTTGATTGGTTATTGTAGTAACCCACATTCTTCCATATTTGTTGTCCATTTTAAATGGCAAATCGACGATTGTATGGCTTTGGTTCCGAGTAGTATTCCTCCAAACGAGCTTCCTTCTCGAAACGAAAGGCTAAAAATTGTTAATTCTGAGATGTTGCCTAAAATTCTAAGATTATAATTCCTGACTCATTGAGCGACCGCAGTCCGCCTCGCTATGTGGAACATCGTTTACTGCAATCTTTTTGACATAAAAATGGACTTCTTTCGGGCAGTCGCCTTTAAGTATCAAATCAACCTAAAAGTAACTGATTGATCACAGTAACAGTAATTTTCAGCTTTTTCATAATCAAATAATTTGAATGTTGCGATGGTTATTGCAGCGTTCTTGTGTTTCTAATAACATTTACACGTAAAAAGTAACTTGGAGCCAAAAATCAGAGACCAGCGCTCCAAGGTGATTACGTGCAAAAGTTCATCATGAAGGGCAGAAAAGGGGATTCAAATTTACTGTATAGAGTATGCATTATGATTATTGTATTGCGCTCGGATCCAGATTTTCGTATCAAGTTGACAAGAAGTTGGAGTGTTGCAGTAGACTATCAAACAAGGAAGGGTAAAAGGAGTAACAAACAAGAGTTCCAGTCAGCGATTTGAATTTTATAAGCTACTAGCTGGCTTACCCGGCTCCGCCGTATGTTCCAAATAAAAAATTCCATTTCTTAACCGATCCGGACCAAACTTGGCACACATACACTTCGGGCCCCGGCGGGTGTCACAGTCCACTTTTCGTTATTGATCGATAAAATCGATATCGATCGATGACGAAAAGTAGCCTATGACACCCGCCGGGGCCCGAAGTGTATGTGTGCCAAGTTTGGTCCGGATCGGTTCAGAAATGGAATTTTCTATTCGGAACATACGTACACACAGACATACAGACAGATAGACAGACAGACAAACAGGCAAACAGACATTCAGCTTTATATATAAGATAGAAATTCAGAAAAATCAAGTTATACTCGACAGGACATCGACCCATTCTAATAAAAGAAGGTTAGAGAAA